GAACTTCGTCTACCTCGGGAGACTCGGACCACAATAGCCAAACTTCGCTCTGGCTTGCAGCAGGTTGAACTCATACCTGAGCAGACTAAATGCGGGTGTGCTCACAAAACCTCACTCAACTGACGCCTTTGTCTCTGTGGACAGACCCTATAGAGGCTGCACGTTTCGTGGGTCTCCCGTTGGTTGAGCTTGACGACAACGACTGAGAGACTAGCTGATCTGGGCAGGGCTACAACAATAACAACAACATGATGCGTATTAGTAAGCCAGAATAGTTGCTGCCTCGACCCTCATAGGACCTGAGCCCTTCTCTTCAGTAGGTCCCAACATGATACAGGAAGTGCTCAGAAATCAAAATACCAAACTAAGGGAACTGCACTGGCGTAACACCAGTCAAATTAAAATCATAATAGCAGGGTACAATCTAAAAAAAATTACAAACTATGTACTCATAATAATCCCTCAGGCGAATCTAACACCCCTATTCTGCAACACTTTCGTTACGTAGCTACGAATTACGAATTACGAAAATTCTGATTCTATAATAAGGGTGTAAGAATCATTAAAGGCATTTTGGTCAGCAATTTTAGGCTATGAGGAAATCTAGGAATCTGGTCAAGTGACCTGCATACATACAATCTCGCTTCTGTGACTTTGCCAAGAAGACGCTATTACAGCTCCTTTTGGAGTGTGAGGCCCTTTCACATAGAACGGAGAGGAGCATAGGGCATCTATGGCCAAGAGAAGAGCACATATGTACACTCCCCTACCCCGGGAAATTATTCTCAAATTTATGATGCGAGTGTCTAGGGCTAGTTGAGGTGTTGTGATAAGTTGAGGCCGCAATATACCTACTGGTGGATTTATCTACATATCTGTGTATGCTTATAAAGAGAAACAACTGGGGCTGGGAGTTCGATTTGGATTTTTTGACTATCAGAATAATCTGGATATTCGAATCATTGATTAAAAAATGCAAATATCCAGAAATGACGAGATATCTGGATTTTCGAATGTAAAAATTAAAAATAAAATAAAAATTGTTTGTGTATTAGTAAAGTGTTTTATTATTGATTTTATAATTTGATATATTCCGCAATATTTTACTTAAAACTGCGTTTTATATATTTTTCCAAAGGCCAGAAGTGACAGTAAATAGTTTTACAAAACAAATTAGATAAGGAAGCCATTTCGCTCATTTGTTGTAAGAGTATCATAATCCAAAAATCCGTTGTTAAGTATGCGAAAATAATCACACCTCTTCTCCTATGTTGTGTAAAAATTTCATAGCTTAAAGAAGGAAATGTGTCTGCATTTTTACTATGGGAGCGTATGTAAACTATGAACTTCAGAGCCGTTTTTGCGAGTTTTTGATTTTTTTTGATTATGACACTCTTGCGGAAAATGAGCGATTTGTACTCAAGGAAGTGATTTGGGAACTAAGCATAACTGAGTGAAGTGTTTAAAAACTATAATGACAAATCGAAGTGACTATTGAAAAGGAATTGTTTCTAAAATATTTATGCATGCTAATTAAAGCATAAATACATATCAATGGAAGCAAAAAAAAAACCGTGTAGGTGGGAGTTATTTCCAATATTTTCTCAACTCAGTCCCACTACTCAAAAAAAAAACGCAATCACCGTATAGTGAATGACAACATTAAAAAAAACAAAAGAAAAAAAGAGAGAGAGAAACACTTCTACAAAGACAAAAACGCACATTAACACAAGTAAAAAAAAAAATAATACATATTTGTAAAAACACTTAATCACAGCCGAATTTGTGGGGGCGTAAACTTACCTTACGTGGCGGGGGCTGCATTTTCGAGTGAGTGTGTTTGTGTTTGCAATTGCACTCAGTGCAACCACTTCAAAGTAAGTTTAGAATTTTTTTTTTTTTATAATTTTGTTAGCTAGTGCCTTGCTGACGCAGGTATCCGAATATTGTTGAATTTTTACTTTACTTCTTTTACTAACAGCCGACTTTTTTCAAATCAAATGAGGACATAGTAACTAATGCATGGAATAAAAAATGAGACAAAATGGAAAACTATGAAAAAGCACAATAATGAGACATGAAATTCATGCGCGCAGCATAAAACACTTTGTTTTGTTGTTGTTTTTTTTTTTTGATTATTTTTGTTCCTTTTTTTTGGTTTAGGTTGGTTATGAAAAATACTGGTAGCAGCAAAGGAGACAATGACAATGAGGGAAGAATTGTATAGTAAAAGGATATATTACGCGATAGACACTTTGCGAGCGATTATATAAGCACAAAATATCAGACGAAAATGCCAAGCACACAGACGCACGGTACTGGGTGCGCTGAGGAAATACCAAGCCAGCGAAGTAGCAGCATAGCATAGCACTTGAATTAGCAATTCATATGCACTTTTTATATAATGAGCTTGCAAATTAATGTAGCACTGCATTTTTGTTAGGTTTCTTATTTTTCTATTTTTTCTATTTAGCTTAGCTCAGCAAAAAAAATAACTTCATCCGATTCTATAGCCATAAATGAATTTTTTTTACAAGCATAAATTATATTTATTTATGTATTTGCTGCCTATTTTTTGTATTTAAAAATTTTTCTTCACGCCAGCAAAGTAATGCAAATAGATGCTTATACATATGTACGAGATAAAAAATATATGTATGCTAACACTTTTCTTCGACATATCCACTTCGTTGCGTTGGTGTTTTTTCATTTAAACAAACTACTTTTTAACATAAATTTTATGCACTGCAGTATTTCACACTTTCGGCCACTCTCTTTTTTAATAATTGTTTTCCTTTTTTGATATACCAAAACCGTTACCAACATGAGAAATTCCTTTAGCGAAAAATTCGATAGCACAGTCAGAAATTGTCTGATTTTTCCTGCTTACTTATCGATTTCGTGTCGTTGCAATGAAAATTTCTTTTCGAATTTTCTTCTTCCTCTTTGCTCATTGGAAGTTCAACACGCACACACGCTTTTCATATTCGTATATACATACATATGAGCATAAATGGCTATGCGTTTTAGTATTTCCCCCGATTGTTTTTGCGTTTGCCAGACTAACCGCCTGGATGTCTGGCTACCAATGCTACTCTCCCGACTTACTGAGCAATCAACTACTTAGCTTTGCAAGCACTATGCAGCAGAGCTTATGCGCGTGTAATCATTGCCAACAAACAATTTGTATGCCTACAACCACTAAATATTTGCGGAGGCACTTCCAACGTAGGCTGCAGATCAACTACTGGCATTGTGTGCTACATAGTAAGTAGCTTTCCCAGATGCCATCGGACTTTCGTAGCAAGCTACCCACATTCAAGTGCTAGCCAGCCATTCATTCATATAAAAAAATTGGAAGCAAATGTTGGCGTTTCCAACCTACACTCACACGAGCGCATGCGCAATTCATATCCTTTACTCTCTTTGATTTGTTGTGCTCTCTATGTGATAGGCAATTCCCTGCCTTCTACGTCTACCTCAAATTCTAATTTCACTTTTAATCCATTGCCTATTTATAACCGTCATCCAGCTGTATGCTTTACCAACATGTCTCCATGTTTGTTGTTTGTGCTTTAGCGCTTATCGCGATGTCATCAAGTCGCCATAAAATAAGTTGCGTGCCGATGAGGTAATATTTGTACTGATATGTAATTGCTTCCGCCAGTTAATATAGAATTCCATTAGCTGATATAATATAGTATGACTATTATAAGTATCACTATTCGTTGACTTTACAACTATCTTATAGAGGTCAATGAATCGACAAAGTGAAAGTAAATACAGTGAATTTGTCCAATAAAACAAATACTAAATTTTTTTATAGAATGGAATAGGAAAATATTTATCTCTATTTGAAACGACTACAACTGAGAGTCAAAACGGTTTAACTAAATTTGTATTACCATCAACAAAATGTGGTTGCATTGAATGGTATGGATTTTTGAGTGAAAAACTTTTTATCAGCTACTACATACTTGAATAATTAAGTGCTTATCGAGTGAATGCGATAAGACAACAATTTTGAGTAGATATGTATGTACATACATACCCACTGGGAAAATAGGTAAGCACCTTGCGAGGTAAGCCATGTTTTCTTTCAGTTCTTAGTACCAAAATTGTCATCATGGCCAATGCCATCTACTAGTAAAGGGCAAAATGAACACATCCGAAGACACATTACGTTGTCAGTTGCAAAATAACGTGCAGCCGAA